TAATATAGTAGGACTATATAGTGAAATTATAATCAAAATTAAATTTCTAATTAATATCTAATTATCTTAATTCAATTATAACTTGAAGTATCTAAACATGGCTTTTATAAAAGCCTCTAAGGTTATTTTCTTATCTTAATAATTAGTAGGTTGAAGGTTAGTTAGTAGTTTTATCTTCTAGGTTGTACAAACTCTTCTACTACTTTAGAAAGACCATAAATTGATAAAAATAAGTTAGAAGAGGTAAATAATTAGTATAGTTGGTACTAAGGTTAATTTGAGAGTAGGATTGGACTAAAAAATCCTTAGGATATGATAGATTGATACCCGGAGGTCGACCATTTGTGAGACATGATTGAAATTAGACCTTTGGCCACTAAAACGACGACCTAGGGTAAAATAGGGTTTCATTCAAAGATTGGAGGTTAGGATTTGCCATCTAGCTTGAAGTTCTTTCTTGAGACATAAGAAATTTTTTGAGAGGGTTTTGGAGGACTTAGCAATTGTTGTTCAAAGTCAAGGTTTGTATCAATGATTTGGGTTTCATATAATATAATTAGGGCTAGCAATTTTGGATAGTTCGTATAATTGGTATGACATCTATGGTTAAAAATTAAATATCATTTGGATTATTGGGTGTTCTAAGTGTATAAAAAATTTTGTAAAAATCTAATGGCGTGGTTTAGATATATCTAGTTTTTAGCACAAGAGGATTCCAGAAGGTGGCAATTTGAGATTGGGTAGGGTTTCTATGATATCTAAAGATCTATTATTCGGATTAAGGTGAAAATTGGCATGGTTTTGGAGAACTTGAAGATCAAGCTACACACCAATTTTGAGACAAAGTAAATGGTTGAAGAAGGAGATATCATTACTGGGATTTCTGCTTTACTTTTCAAGTTGGCGGCCAAGTAACATTAGTACAATTTTCGGAGGTTTTCTCACAATCTGTAAGTTGGATTGGGCTAAAACTTCTTGAGCATTTTGAAAACTTGCATTGACAATTACATGAAAAATTCCACATCAAGTGGATAGTCGGATTGGACGTTACAGCTTGTTAAAGCTCATTGATTAGTATTGGATTTTAAAAGAAAAATCTAAATTACTTAAATATGAAAGTAACAAGGTAATTGGAATTTATGTATGGTTAAGACTACTAAGAAGAGTGTTTTTAGCACTTTTGAATTGAAATTCAGATTATATTCTTCTCACATGGATGAAACCTATTAGGGTTTCTAGGCTTCTTATGAATCATAATCTCACCTTCGACAGCTAAGTGCCTGGTATATTCCTGAGCAAAACAACACGTAATATGACATTAGAGGATGCACAAATTCAAGGGAGAGGATGTCATGATATAACATAGCTAATAAATGAAAGAGTGTAGAAATTATTATACTATAGATCTCATTTTAAAATATTATAGCAAATTATCTTAGAAATATAAATAATAGTCAAAAAGATAATAAAACTAAAAAGTAATAATAATTCTTTTTATAAAATAGACTTCTATTTACTTGGTATGACTATAAATAAGGCAAAATATAGTAAATTAGAAAATTAAATGATATAGGCATATGTAAAAAGGAATTAAGAATAGATTTTAGTAAAATTTACTTCTAGAAGCCAAGAAATGATATCCTGAGAGGACTGATTGTCAACATGGGTCAAAATCAAATCCTGAGGAACAAAACCAACTCTTGGATTCTTTTGGAAATTAAAGAGTGGAATTTGATAGCATACTTGATAAGATTTCTATAAGCATTTATTTTGTGTGATTTGAATTTAAAATGACTTAATAAGAACCTTATAAAGTCAAGATTGTTTTAGATAACTTGGATTTTTGTGAAATAAAAGTAGATTGATATTTTGAGCCATTTCAATAGTTTTGTAGCAAATCTATAAGTGAAATTTTGTAGATTAATAATTATAGTTATATTTAACATGTATTAAAAATTTTAACTTGATCTAATAATTGAATTGAGGGTTATTGAGGTTTGTGTGGATCAAGGTCTCAAAAAATAGAATTTTAGGTCTAGTAAAGGTTTTTAGGATTTCTTGTAATCTACTAGTTAGATTGAAGTGAAAGTTATGTATGTAAATAGTAGACTTATTTTATTATGTATATAAAAAATTTACAATCAACTTAATGGTGCAAAAGAGAGATATTAGCACTGAAAGATCAGCATCAAGGTTGCAGAAGGAAACAAACCAACATCTTATCAAATTTTAGGATTTTTCTTCTATTAGGATTGATTAGAATCTGGTTTAGGATTTAGAATTTGATTAGAATTTAGTTAGGATTTGATTTAGGATTTAATTAAGATTTAATTAGAATTTAATTTAAGAAATAAGATTTGGTTAGGATTTGATTTAGGATTTAGAATTAATTTAGAATTTTATTGAAGTCTATTAGGATTTCAACTAGAATTAAATTAAAACTTAGTTGAGATTTATTTAAGCTATATTGTCATTATTTCAATATATTTTTAGGACTTCTTAAGAATTCTTTTAAAATTTATTATAGATTATCTTTCAACTCTTTTAAGATTTCTTATTATTTCTTTATAATTTCTTTAAGATTTTATTTTAAATTTGATTAAAGCTTATTTAGCATTGTTAAGATTTATATAGAGTTTATTTAGTATTCTATTAGAATTAAAAAAAAATTATTGTAATTTCTGTTCTATCTTCTATAACTAGGTGTTCGGTGCACTCTCAAGCAACACTTCACATATTACAACAACGGTGGAGGCTTTTCATCAATGACATTCGTCAAAACAAAGATGAAGAATAGTAAGTCTTCTCTATAAAAGAAATAAGGTTTAGAGAAGATTTGCATTCTACCTTGTAAGCTTAGGCATATGTCTTACAAAGTCAATATATATTAGAGGTGCTATAGAACATCATCACGTAGCTCTTAGCTAGATAGTATATATAAAGGCAAGAGTGAAGCCTTCTTCACTCTTATCAATTTCTTTCTTGGTTCTAGTCTAGATTTAAGAGCCTCTAGTTTACTTTTCTTTTGACAATAGCCATTTCAGTTTCTTTTTAATATATATACTACTTTATTGCTATTTTTTACTTTTTTTTTTTAATACCAACTTTTCAAGTTTATGCATCTTCTTTCAATTCATGTCCTTAATACATCCTAGTCTTTATTCAATCTATTCTAAAAATAACTTTTTCATCATTCTTTCTAAATCTTCTTCAAAATATTTATCTTTAAGATGTTCTACAAATTTTTTCCAAGAAATGGAGTCTTCATGCAATTCTTTTACTCTTTCTTCAATCTTAGAAACAACAACAAGATCAAAAGCAGAGATCAACTTTATTTCTAGAACTTGATGTACTTCCATCTTGCATATGTAGACCCTTAGAAATTTGATGATGTTTCTTCCTTCAAATCTTCTAAACTTGTCAACAATAGCTTGCAAGGCTTTTGTGGTATCCTTGTCATACTCTTAAACTTATTGTTGTTGCTCCATGAATTGTGCAAATACTCAAAATAAGTCATTTGAATTAACTATTTTAGGCTTTTTGAAATCCAAATCAATATCCTCCATTATTCTTACTAAAACAATAAATGCCTCAAGGTTCTCTCAATAGAAGGACCAAAATGTCATAGAAAAAGACTTTGTTTGAAAAAATACTCAATATTTGACTACAATTGATTACTTTACTATTATATATCCTTTCAAAGATGTACCAACTTCTCTTTAGATTGGATCTTCGTCCTTTATCATAAGCATTAAGCTTGAGATAGTATCTTCTTTGAGAACTAAAATAAGCTCTATGCATGCCTTTCAATATTGCTCTATTTCATACAATTCAAGTGAGTGTTCTTCACTTCATTTTCCATAGATTTGAAATGCTATTGTGGAAAGAGAATTTGCTTGAAAAAATAGTGGGATTCTGATTACTACTAATTACTCTATTAACATGTAACTTTAGAACATGCACAACACTTTATAAACAAGATTCTTTTATAATTCACTTGCCTTCACATGAATAATTTTTCTTTTCATTAAATATTTATAAAATAAAAACATGAAAGAACAAAACCTCCTTGAAAAGTCTTTATATCTTCCTTCCAAGAAGATTGCCATCCATGTTTAAAACATGAGTTTCCAATCTAGCAAAGAAATGCCCTTAACTCTTTATGAAATCTATCTTCACCTTGTTATAAGGATTGTCTTCGAACTCGTAAAATGTGTCCTCTTCCAAGATCCAAAGCCTCCAAATGGTATTCAATACTAATAGGCTAAATAGCCTTGTTAATATCCACTCTTAGCTTGAAGTCTATAATGTGGTTATTGTGCAAGTAATTTGGTAAAAGAAATCAATAATATTGGCTCTTAATATGCACTATTAAAGAACTACTTGGATACCTATAACTATCTAAAGGCTAAAAAAGACAACTTGTACTTGCAAAATCACAAAGCTTTATAGTTCATTGGCAATCATCTCGAAATTACTATATATCCAATATATCTATAAATAGAAAGATTTTGTTGGCCATGAACTTGATCTTGTTTCTACAATATACTTATCAACAAAAATTAGTACAAACAAAAAATGGAATAATTATAGAAAACCTCTAAAAATAATATCCACAATTAAAGAAAGGTACCAAAAATGAAATCTAGAAATACTCACTGGATCCTCATCTCCAACAATACATGAAGAAAAATCAAAAGTAAACTAGAGAAACCGGCACTTGCCTATAGTAGATAGTCACAACTTGTAGAACTTATAAAAATGGAAGACAATTGCGATAAAATGAAATGTGAAGAATTGAGAGAAAATCAAAAATTCACTTAAAAAGCAATCAATATTTAGTGAATGCCACTTCAATGCTTTAAATGACCTCCACTCCAAAAATTGAATATGCCAATGAATTCCTTGGATATCTTCCACATAAAATTGACTCAAAAATAATCAAATTTGGACTCCATATGCACTTGGAGTGAACTTCCAAATTTAACACTTAAGAATTCTGGATAATTTTTTTTTTTTTTTTTTTTTTTTTTTTTCAATGCTTTATAACTGAATAATGAGTCCTATGACCACATATTTATTACCGAGGTTCTATGACCGCAAATCCTGTCACCACGGTTTTATGATCGTAGAGAACTTATGCAACATGGATTTATGACCATGGAAAATCTGTGCATCATGGACCTATGGCCGCGTGGGACTTATCAGCGTGGACCTATGAATATATGTGTACTGACGGTTTGAGTCGCTGTTTGCAACCGCGGATCCTTGATATTTTTCTTGAACTTGTACCAAGTCCTTGCGTTGTATCGCCTAGCTCAAAGCGCCTCAACAATCCTAATGTTGCTCCCAATGCCAAAAACCAAGAATACAGCGCTTTGTTACAATCAGAACAAGTCTTACAACAAGCCTCGCAAAAAAAAAAAAAAAAAAAAAAAATAGTACCTTTGCAGCCTTGTTTTGCCTCGCACTACTCTTTACGACAGGGCTCCGTTACCCAAACCCTAGCAGCTCCGCCTCGCAACTCTAATGCCGCCTCACAGCTCTGCCTCGTATCGGCATCACAATTTTGCTCCAATCCTCTTGTAGTGACCTTTCTGATGCGGCTAGTCCAGCAAACTCCCTTTGCAACACTACGATCTTGTGCTGCGACTATGCCTCTCTTGCGACCTTCCCATGCAGCACTGCAATCCTGTGCTCCACTATCGCCTCGTCATTTCTAGGGCCGAAACCCCGTAGTTCCAGTCTAATACCTTGTACTGCGCAGTATCCGTGGCGACCAGTACGGCCGTACGCAACAGTGCGGCAGTACAACCCAGCTGGGTTCCAGTGCCTAGCACAGCGGTGTCCAAAATCCAGCAATAAAACAAATCTAAATTGGTTTTTTTAAAAAAAAATAAAATTTTTTTTCGATCTACTTTTTTCTAATTTTCTATACCACAAATTGAAGAAAAGAAAAGATTCTTGTCAAGTCAAAGATTAGAAATCTATACCGAACTAAATCAAGTTAACTCTCAAACTATGAAGGGGAATCCAAGAGTGCATGTGTGACAATAAGAGAAACCCTAAAGATTTTCTAAAATGGCTAAAACACCATTGCCAAACAAACCCTTACAACAAGTCCTCTCATTGTCAAAATCACTCACAAGACTTGACTTGACAAGAATGTCAAGTCAAAGGTTTTTCTCTACTTAAGTATTGAAATCCTAATTGACATGAATAAGTCAATTAACAAAAAACTAGCAATGGATGAGAAACCACTAACTAAACTAAATTATATACATCTAATAGGATTTGGCACCAAATACCATATCACATGACAAATAGAATGTATGGTTATTAAAAATAATAAAATAATAAAAAAACTATAATAATTATTACTAAATATAAATAAACTACAAACTATTGAAACTAAACTAGACACAAGAAAGGAATTGACAAGAATGAATAAGGCTTCAATTTTGCCTTTATGTATATATTATCTAACTAAAAACTAACTAGCAATATTTTAGAGGTCATCTAAGAGATGTTCAATTTATATAAGAAGTGACCAACTTGTGAAGAAAATAATTGATATGTATAATATATGATGAACTTATTCAGCACATTTTAACCCTCCAATTATCTACAAATATTAGAAAAGTCAAATTTGTAGCTTTAAAGCTTTTTAGTAGTTTGTTACAAGATATTATTAAATTTACTTAGATCTGTTTAATTCTTCTTATTTAAATATATATTACTATTAATATATATATATATATATATATATATATATATATTTATGGTATTACTTTTCTTGTTAAAAATAAGATCCATGAAAAATAAAGATTACATATTAAAAAAGTCAAAGATGCAACAAATTCTATTTGTTACTTAAATTATGGTCTTTATTTTTATCAAAGGTAATTGATAGATCCTCTCAACTATCAATAGTATTGCATATCAAGACAAATTGATCTCCTTGTTATTTGATTGTTGTTGAAGCCTTGATAATTACTTTGAAACAAAACATTTGAAATACCATCAAGAATGGTTTCTATCTCTTATAATATTATCAAACATCAAAAGTCTCTTTGAAGGTTGTGATATTAAACATGTTATATTTCACCATTTATTCATAGAAGAACATGTCATTTTTAATGATTTTTATTTTTATTATGTTATTTTAAAGATTGTAGCAATCTCAATGGCTTGTTTGTTAATTTAACAAAAATTAGTTGTTAACTTGAATTTTCTAGTTGTTAATTTTCTACCTCCTTGATACCAAAGTTACAAAAAAAATGATAAATAAGTATAGAAGATAGAATATAATCTTTATAAAAATTATTTTGCTTTACAGCGAAAAAATATTTAATTCTTTATTTTAGTTTTAATAGATGTTATTGATAAAAAGCATCCACCTTTTCTTTTGTATTTCTAAGATTCTTAAAAGGCTTCCATATGCATTCACTAATATTATATTTCTACCAATGTACAAGCTATAATAACCTTTTTTTGTATCGCCTTAAATCTAAGAGCTCTTCTATCTCAAGTTTTTGATTTTTGTCTACTTCTATAAGATGAAAAAGTATTTGTCTTCTTTTCAATACATCCACTGTCTTGTAAGGCTTAAAAAATACATAAAACATAAGATGGATCTTTATTGACCTTGATAGGTATAATTGATATGAAACTAAATTGATTTATTAATAAAGAGAAAATAATCTAAATCTAAGATAATCTTTCTTTTAATAAGGTCAAATAGTCTTGATTTTACAATTAAGTAATTATATCTTGTGGCCAATATGAAATTGATATTTTTTCTTTTTAAAGATATTTGTATTATTTTTTTTATTTATGGATTTTATTTAATTATATCATTATTTTCGTATATATTTCTAATAAAAATTTAGTTATATCTTTTACATCAAGTTTGTTAATTTTAAAAAAATCAAAAATATTAAATTATGAATGATAACCATAAATAGTATAAAAAGATGATTATTGAGTAAAATAATATACACATCTACCATCTATGTTGCCAAATTTTAAAACCTTTCTTATAACCTATATTGGAATAATAAAGCCCTTATTAACCAATTTTAATACAACTTAAAATATAATATCAAAGATTTATCATTAATAATGTCAAAAATATATTTTTTTGAATAATTTATTGCTCTGGCCATTGTATGCAACAATTAATTCTATAAAAGACATTAAAGATAATGATTTGTTTCACAACAAATGAATCAAATCATAACAACATCTTAATTTAAATATTTTAAGCTTTTAAAAACTTATTAATTAAAACCAAAATATATGCAAAAAAATGTATTATGTTTTAAACCTTTGACTAAATAAAAAAAGACTTAATGTCATTAAATATTTTGTATTTATTTTGCAAAGAACCTAAGCACACTGCTTAATATTGTCTAAAGAAATAAAACAACTACAAAATATATAACATGATTATCAAAGAATAAAATGTGTTAAAAAATAAATTTGTCTAATTACAATAAGCACATGCTATTAAAATCTTACATAATATTTAGTAAAGGCCTTATTTTTACTTTAAAAAATTTCACCTTGTTTTATAATAAATATTTATTTAAGTCCTAAAAATTAAAAAACCTTTGTCTTATTAGATTCAAAAATATTAGTTTTTTTATTTTTAAATAAATTATTTATTAGCTAGCATAGTACAAATTTTGTAATAAAAATCAAGTCCATATATATAGATGATATAAAATATTATTCTTTGTCTTTTAGAGATATTACCTATATAATTATTTTATAAATATAGCAGCATATAATCAAAATAGCCTAGTAATATTTAATACTATTAGTACTTTCTCTAGTCCAATCATTTTAGATTTATTGTGGCTAAAAAAATATAATCTTTAGATAGATTTGAATTCTTGAAATTTCAATTTTTTCCTATTTACAATCAAGGATTTTCTAATTAAGTAAAGATTTATAAGATTAGTATAATTAGATCTTTATTTATAATTATAAGACCTTTCATGCATATCATCATACTACAATTATTTATAGTATGTAAAAATTAATTAAAACATATGATATATTCATAAGTTGATGTATATTAAAGTGGTTAATAGGTTAATTTAAAAAGTTTTGATATAAGAAAATTTATTTTGAAGTTTATCTATTTTTATTATAATATTTAAATTATATAAGATTTAGATATTTAATATAAAGTTTTTAGAGAAGATAGAAGCTCAAAGATAAAGATTCAAACTATTAAGAAGCTTATTTGGAGAGATAAAATCAAAATATGGATGAATGAAGGAAAGGAGTGAAGGTCTTTATTTCTATTGGTCAAAGGCTATATCCAATAGGCTTTCAAAAAATTGCTTGCAACCATAACAAGGATTTTGGTAACTGCAATAGAAGCATTTGAAAATCAAAAGAAAAGATTCTAAAGTTTTGAGTTTAATCTATAATTTGTGTAAAAAATTTAGAAGATTTGAATTGAGGTAAAGAAGTTATAGCCATTTGAAATTAAAGTATCTTTTAAGTCATACTATTACTCTTTTCAGAATACAAGAAGTTATATAGTAGCTTTTGAAAATCAACAGGTGTCACTACAAGGAAAATTTTAAGATCTATGTCTTTTGTGAAAGAATTATTATATTTAAAATTTATATGAAGGAATTATAGGGCATTAAAGACAATAAATGTAATTCAAAGGTAATAAGAGAGTCATTTTATTAATAGTAATGGTTGGAATCATATTTTGAATATTTGGATAAATTTTTGGCTTGAAATTTTTAAAAGTGTAAGTTATTAGGTTAAAAATCTACATATCAAAAATTTATTTGGATGGTCCAATCGTGAGATATAAGCTATTGAAGTTTGAAAAAAAATCACTTTAAGGATATATAAGGATTTAGAATATTTTTAGTATATTTTGGATATTTTTTGGTACTTAAGGCTTATATATTGATATAATTATCTTTATAAGAAAAAAAAATTATATGTATTTTAAACTTTCTTATCTTAAGACTTGATTGTACAATTAATGACAGCCAAAAGTCCAATGCTTTTTCGAGAAAAATCTCTCTCTATTTTGACATATTGGTGCTTCTACTAAGAGAGTCTTAAGGCACTAAATTTTTCAACAAGTCAGGATGGCACATCAAATCTCAAGATTTATATTATCAAATAGGATGGATGCCTATGATTTATTCAAGGAATTTTCTCAATTTATGGAAGAAAAGCAACATGTACATAAAGAGGATAGGAATACCACCAAAGCTTTATAAGTAGTAGTAGATAAGATTAGAAGGTTTGATATGAGGGATATAACAAGTTCCTAAAGATTTACATATGTAAAATGGAAGTATATCAAGTTTCAAAAATGAAGATGATTACCACCTTTGATTTGGCAGTGATACCAAAAGTAAGAAAAAAAATACATGAGTTGCATATTGAGGCTATGTTATAGAAGAAATTTAAAGAACTCTTGAAAGATAATTTTTTTAAGGAAGATTCAAAAAGAATGACAAAACGGACCTTTTTGAAGTGGCTTGAGAAAAGGCCAAAAAATTGAATGACTTGAAATGAACTAATTAAGAAATTTGAGACTAAGTTTGGCCAATTACCATAGCAAGAGATACAACTCTTGAAAACAAAAAAAACTAGATAATTCTTGCACATAATTGATGAATACTTTGAAGATAAGTTGCTCTTTTATTTAGCAAACAAGACATCTAAGAATGGTTTTATGAATAATTTAAGGCTAATAAAAGAGATAGTGGAACTTTTATTAAAGTATAGAAATAAATGAGGAAGTAGAATAAGTAACAT